ACACTTAACCATCTGAGCCACCCAGGCGCCCATAAATAAAATTTTTTTAAAAAGTTAATTTTCTGTCACACATATTTTGCCACATTTTTTTTTAAAACTCTAATATGCAAAACTTTACACTGTGTCTCTTACTAGTAAGTACATCACTGTGTAACTCTTGACATCCCTGACAGCAGCCAACACAGTCGTTTACCAGAGATGGGAATCCCTTTATTCGTCAGCAATTTTGTTACAGTGCTAACAAATCAACAAAGGGACTGGAGTATCTGACTGTGCACATGCATGTGTAGGAAGTAAGGTTCCATGGCAACATCTTTTTTGCCCAATCCTTCATTCTTCCTTAAAGGAAGTCAAAGAAGGAATGGATGGAGGTGGCCTCACCTTGAAGGAAGTTTACTAAGTACTGGGTTTGAGCCCAGTTTGTGTGTAAATCTTTTTAAAAAAAGATTTATTTATTTGAGAGAGAGAAAGAGCGTGCAGGGGGAGGGGGAGAGGGAGATAATCTCAAGGAGACTTCCTGCTGAGCGTAGAGTCCAACATGGGGCTCAGTCTCACTACACTGAGATCATGACCTGAACTGAAATCAAGAATTGGACACTTAATTGACTAAGCCACCCAGGCACCTCTGTGTGTAAATCCTTAACTGGCCTAGAGGCCAAAAGACACAGTATCTCCTTAACCCCCAAAGAATACTACCCTCTGGCTCCTACGTTGGGGAAAAAAAACTGAGACCTGGTCACTTACGTTACTTTCATTTCTCCTTCTCCCCACTGGACAATCTCACCAAGGGAAAACTTTTCTTATGGGGTCTCTCAGACATATCTAACAGCATCAGCTTTCAGGTAATAATTTACCATTACTGCACCTTACCTTACCTTCACTTTCAGAAAGGATCTTCATGCATTTAACAAACATTTCTTAGCCCTCTGCCACCTTCCAGGCCCTGTGCCAAACCAGTGTGCACAAGATAAACGCAGTCCCTACCATTAATGAGCTGACAGTCTAATGAAGAACTGTCCAGCAGAAATAAAATAAAAACCACACAAGTCATTTAAAATTTTCTAGTAGCCACGTTTATGAGTAAAGACAAAAGGGTGAAATTAATTTCAATAACATTCATTTAACCCAGTATACCCAAAGAATTATCATCTGGGTATATAATTAATATTAAAAAATTAAAATATTTCACAATCTTTTTCCTGTTCTAAATCTTGTCAATCTAGAGTATATTTTATAGTTAGAGTATAACTCTGTTTGGACTAGCCGCATTTCAAGTGCTCAATGCCAGGCATGGCCAGTGGCTACTGTACTGGACAGCACAGGACTAGTGTGTCTCAAAATAACTGAGAACAACCAGGATCATGGTCTGCCTCATATTTACTAGGTGGGGTGGGGTGGGGTGGGAGTAACGGGAAAGTGAATGAAGGAATCTAAAGGGGCTTACCCGTCAAAGGAAGAGCTGGTGCAGTCATATACCATCTCCCGGTTACCCTTCATTTGAAGGTATGCATCACAATTGTCACAACCATCATATTCAAACTGGTCTATAGTCTGGGAGGGGGGACAAAGGGGGGGGTAGGGGTGAGTGTAAACAAGGCCAAAAGAATAACTAGCTCTCTCCATACTTCTACCTGGTCAAGTAGAAGGCTCCCCCCTATGCTGGCTCTGTCTCATCAGGTTCCCCACGCCCCACTCCCACAGCTCCATTCCTAAAGTTCCACCCACCCTCACAGTCCTCCCTCTCTTGTTCCTAACTGCGTTTTACCTAGTCCTCTCCCTAGTGTCCTCAGGGCCAGGCATCGTCTCCGACTACGCCCCCTCAGCTGCAGATCCCCACCCTCATCTGACTCCCAGTGGCCTTCAGCTTCAACAGAAGTTCGCTGAACGTCTGTTAAGGATCAGACCTGTGCGAGCTGAGGATTCAAAGGCATGTAAAGACTGCCTGCGTTCCTACAGACTTAAACAATGGCCCCCAGCAGCTTCCCACACCCCTCGCCAAACCCGGGGTGCTGGACCTTAATTTTCTCTTCGCTATCCCCCAGCCCCGTTCCACCTTTTCCCCCACCTGGATTCCCCCATCGCCCCTACAACCAGCTCCCCGAAGGACACCTTGACCAACGAACACAGCAAACAAGCCCGCAGATGCCGCAGGTCCTTCGGCACCGTCTCCAAGGCCATCCTCTCCGACAAAAGAACAGCAAAGGACTGGGCCCCAGATTCCTCAGCCGCAGGAAGTAAACAGCGAATTACCCAGAACGCCTTCCACTTCCGGTGTCTAGGACTTCCTCTTCCGGTGTGGGAAGCCGCAGGGCCCAGCCCTCCCCCCCCCTCGCCTAAGGAGATGGTTTCTCCCGCCTGGAGGCGGGGCCGGCCGGGAGTCACCTGGGCCGGCGCGCGCACCCGCCACCTGGGCCGGCGCGAGGGCGAGGCCGTGGCGGCCGTTGGGCCTGTGGGCAGGGCCCGTGGGGGAGGGGCGGTGCGGCTGGCGCCTGCGCGAGAACGCGCCGCGGCCGGAGCCGGAAGCCCGGCGGGGGGGCAGTTTGATGTAGGCGGCTGGCCGCTGGTCGCTGGTCCCCTTAGGAGGATCCCAGATGCCAGCCGAGATTCTTTTTTGTCTTGCCGTTTTAAAAGCGCAGGGCCAGAGAGTCCACTGTCTCCCTCTGGGTTATCTCTGCCGAGAGGGAAAGAAATCAGGGACAGCCCCTTTCTTCCTGAGAGCAGGATAGGGTTTCCATTTGCCGTCCGCCGGAATGCGGGCTTGTGGGCCGGTGGCGCGTAACAGGCATATTTAATTATTTTTTTAAACTCTTTACGTACTTTCCTTGTTCCAGCTGGTTATTTAGGCTTTGTGCAGCGTTTAGCATTTAGACAGTTCCTTTACTTGAGAACATCTGTAGGGGATAGGAGAGTGTGTCTTTTTTTTTTTTTTTTTCATTTCACCTTATAGAAAACTAGATGCTCCTTTGCTCTGTGGTTCAAAACTGGGCAACGGACAATGACCACCCCTACGAAATCTTTCGTGGAGAAGCAGAAGGGAAAATGTGCTTTGTGAGGATGGGAGCAAAGACTGCCCCAGGCTCTGTGGAATTCATACCAACTTAGCACCAGCTCTTGATCCTCACAGTAGTCGCACGAGTAGGCAGAGCACAGTCATTTGTGTTTATCAGAATTGAAGCTCTGGGATATAAATAGTTTCAGGCCCTGCTGTTCTATCCTCCCAACCAGGCCTCCCAACTGAAACAGAGCTTCTTCAAGGGGGGGCCTGCTTCTTGTGCCCATGCCATGCTGTGTTCAGATGGGCTCTGTGACTGGGGTTAGAATGTTCTCCAGCACTGGATACTTTCCACCACCAAACATGCTTTCACTCTTAGGGAGCCCTGCAACAACTCTGTGAAGTAGGCCTATTTTATGGGTGGAAAAAGTGAGGCATAGAGTATTTACCAAAGGTCAAAAAGTCACCGAAGCATCACAAATAAGAGTGTGAAGTAAAAGGTAGAATAATACAGATAATGACTGGACCACAGAATCCAGTCATGCTTTCCCCCTTCCCTGATCTCACTAAACCATGCTTTTAGGGGCTTACAAACCAATTCTTGTTGCCTAGCCCACCACTCTGTCCTATCCTTTCATAAATCAGAGCCTAACTTCTGATACCAGAAATAATTTACTTCTGTCAACGTAGAAGATGAAGCTGTTACCCTGAGTGACCGTCATGACAGAACAAAACCACGAGACCAGACTGCATTTATGGATAAATATATTAGCAAATAAATACATTTCTCAACATAGTGCCTGATTCAAGCATCTTTCTGTCTGGTTCAGATATAAATACCCATGTGGGTGCCTAGGTGCTAGTTCCCCACTGACTTTAAGGGAAGAAGTTTCCCAGGTAGGGTCCTGTGCCCACTTAGCTCCCACATTCACATTCCAAATGGGATAATGCCTGAGGAGCCGGCAATAGTCCAGCTGCCCTGGGGTGAATGTTACCCTCAGGAGGCTCCTCAGCCCTTGCCCACTCGGGTACCAGCTACCCGGGCCAGATGTCCTGCATGCACAACCTCTTGCATGCACACCTTCCTGGGTGTCCCTGGCCTGTATGGCTTATCATGGGAAGCTGGGCCTTGGAGCCATCTAAACCCAAATGTCCCACTTTGCTTTTCCTTTGTTTTCCCCTGTTCCTCATCCCTGCTCTGAGAAAACTCCCAGAGAAGAATTCGTTGTTGTCCTTGTTCAGCTGTAATTCTGTCTTTTCTACCTTCACTCCATCCTCCCTCTTCTAGATGCAGTCCAGCAGAAATCCTCTTCTTTCCACCTACTTTGGGACTTTGAGTTAGGTAATCTCCAGGAAAGAATTATTCCCTCCCCACTATCCCCACCCCCAACCCCCAGAGGAATTGGGGCTGCTGGAGTGACGAGGGAGTTTGAAAGTCAGAGGCTTCATCCCAGGTTCTTCAGGGTGCAGTACCACTTTAGGGACAGAACTCCACACCCTGGCTTCCCAGAGCCTCCCCTCTGACTTAATATAGTGGATCTGACAATTAAGGACAAGAAGGGAAAAACATTCTCCCTTATGCACCAGGGCAGGTACTGCCTGGAGAAGCTGCAGAGCCTCCCTTTTTAGGGTTCAGGGCTCACCTATGTTCCTGATCCTTTTGCAAAGAAGGGAAATGATAAAAGCTGGGGTTGCTGCTGATGCAGCAGCTTTACCGAGGAGTCAAAGCTGGTGTGCAGGACTCACCCAAGAAAGGAGGTAAGAAGGACCCGTTGGCAGGTATGCACATGAGACTTGAGATGAGGAAGACCTGCTGGGCCTGGGGAAAGGAGCAGCACCTTTATAACACTTATCTACCCATATCTAGCTTCCTGTTCTTAAAAAACAGCCTTTAAGGGAGCCAGCCCACATAGGTAGTAGCTGGTTGCCTGGCTGGACACAGACTTGCCGCACTGCAGATGCATTCTGCACACAAGGTCCAGAGCTGGGAGCAGGGAACACCTGCCACCCACCATCACCACTCCTCTTCTGGAGGTTCCAGGAAGTCTGGCAAAAAAGAGGGCTGTTTTCTGAGGTCCCTTCTTCTCTTAGGAGCAGGACTCTGTGCCAGGTAGGGCCCGAGTCATCCGGAGCACGCTCTTGGTTGGAGCTAGGTCTGAGCATCTCACACAGCCTGTTCACACAGCTCCTCAATCTCCTCCTCTGAGCCTGCATTTAGAGAAAGGGGAGGAAAGAGGTCACTGAGGGTCAGGCCAGCCGCCTTCCTGTCCCACCTGCAAAACAGTATGGCTGGGACAGAACCACAGAGCGGCAGGAGCAGGGAATGTGTCCAGAAGGGGCAATTAGACTGAAAGCTGGGAGGGGCCCCAGTTGGGATACAGGGGAGAGAAAAACAAAAAAGCTAAAGAAAGAGAAACATATATAGCAACCAATGTGTAACAAATACTTACTATTCGCTCATTAACCCAATAAATACTTATTAAGCACTTGTGAATCTGGCCTGTTATCATGTGCCAAATAGAAGAATAAGCAGGGACCTGATAATCTTGTAGGAGAGAAGGTGTGCATACAAAGGGAAATTATGCAGTGGGACAGGACTGGATCATAAGACCTTTCCTGGAAAGGGGACAGATCATGTTCAAGTGGAGCAACCAGGAAGGGCTTCCTGAAAGTGAAGATAAATGAGCTGGTCCTGCAGAAATAGATAAGAACTGGATTTATGGGAATAGGAAGCCAGCAGAATAGTCTGGGTTATAAGGACTGCAAGAAGTGTTTACTAGGTTTGGCTAAAGCATGGGGCAGGGGAAGGGAAGGGGAAGGGTGAAAAATAAAGTGGGGAAGGCAGATGGGGGCTAGCTGGTGCTAGAGCCTTGAAGGCCAAACCAGGCTCAGTTTTTCTTTACTGTGGAGAAAACAGAACATGTGGAAATTTCTGGACAGCTTATTTGAGCAAGATGAGCCTGGCAGCAGCAGGCGAGCAGGGTCACTGTATGTGCAGGGCCCCCCCTTCATGGCCCTGTAAGAGGGGAGGGAAGAGCTAGGAGGCTCCTGCCTTGATCTTTAGGCTGCATCTAAGACGTGGGCAGGGGCCATCAGTTCTGAAGGAGAAGGTAAAAAAGCTCTCAGGGACAGAGTTAACAGAAACTGGCACCGACTGGATTTGAGGAGCAGGGAAGAGGGAGGCATCGAAACCAGTTCTAAGTACGGGAGAGGTGGTGGTCTGGCTCCAGCAGCCCTGAAAGCACACACGTGACAGGGTCCGAATGGATCGTCAAACACATGGCCAAAGCTTGCTTTGCATGGCTCCATGGAAGGCATGATTTTCTCTACTGTAACTGTGTACATGCCTGTGACCCCACAGACCTGGATCTCCTGGTTGTCAAGTTCCATGTTCTCAGAGCCTAGCCTGGAACCTAGCCCATAGTAAGCATCCAATGCAGGAAGAAAAAAGGAGGGAAGGAGTGAATGAATGAATGATAACAGCTCTAGGTCTTGACTGTAGGGTTCCTAGACCGTGAGGTCTTATATTTCAGGACATTTGGGTTCCCTTTTGGGGTGCCTAGTGATAGCTGTAGGCAAAGAGCTTTGTCATCCACACCATGGGAGAAGATGGGGAAAATGGGGAGGGGTGCTCTGGAGGAGGAAGAGGAGCATTTGAGCAAAGAAACACCCAGTTAAAATTGAGGGTTTACATTATCACAATTGGTTGTAGTACAATTATCAGGGATGCACTGAGGCCCCAGGAAAATGAGGTTGGTCTTATTAATACCGGTGCTTAGAAGGAAAGCCTTAGTTGTTCTTTTACCTCAGAGGAAGAGGAGAAACGCTAAGGACCCACAGGGATGCTGGGAACCACCCGTGATCTTTTTTTTCTTTTCTTTTTCTCTTTCTTTCTAATCATTTACATAGCTCTTCTCATATGGCCTAGTGTTATGGATATCTGCAATTATTTCTTCTACAAGACTTCATATTGCCCAGAATTATAGCTATCAGTAATTACTTCTCCGTGCTCTCCTCAAGAGCAAGGAACACTTGCTGGCCTTCTTTGTATTTAAAGCTGATAATTGGGGACACCTGGGTGGCTCAGTCAGTGAGGCACCTGACTCTTGGCTTTGGCTCAGGTCATGATCTTGGGGTCGTGGGACTGAGCCCCACGTCAGACTCTGCGCTCAGCAGGGAGTCTGCTTGAAGATTCTCTCCCTCTGCCCCTCCCCACTCTCTCGCTCTCTCTCAAATAAATAAATAAATAAATAAATCTCTAGAGCTGATAACTGTGTGCACAGCTTTACTAATTATTACAATACTGAAACACTTACATTGGAGCTGCTGCCTCAAACCACCTAGGTGCTTTCTGATGTTTCATCCACACGCGCGCTTCCCCTGAGAGCTCCCTCTGGTCTGGCAACTAAAGGACTATCAGCGGGCAGAGTCACAGCACTTCAGGCAGCATCCTATGCTATGCCCGTTGTTCAATATTTTGAATGCTACCCCACTGCCCCACTGCCCCCTTCGCAGCTTCTGTCAACCCCTTGTTGGCTGACTTCCCCTAGGCTGCAATTACCTCCGGTATCCTCTCCTCATCACACCCTCTCCCCCTAAAAACTCACCAGGCTGCGCTGGTGGCACCTGGCAGTGTGGGTAAGGGCATGGCCTGCCCTCTGGGGTGCCAGATCTCCATTCGGAAGGCCCCTCTCCAGGTGGATGTGGTCCGAGGGACTGGCGTGGAGTCAGACACAGCCACACCGGCTGTGAACTTGAATAACAAGGGCCTGGGCTTTCTGGTAGCAGCCTCCTGTCCAGGCCTGGAGGTCCAAAGATCAATGGGTGGGCCTCCGGGGACCAAGGGTATGCCAAGCTGGTACTGTAGTGGGGAAAAATCTGGCAAGCTGGGTGTGCAGTCAAGTCCTGGGGCCGAGAGGCTGGGATGAGCTCTGAGAGGCCCCCCCGCCTTTTCCTTTGTGGGTGTCGAACAGGGAGGCTGGATTTCTGCAAATGGAAGAGGCTGCTGGGACTGGGGTTGGGGGCATCAGCTGGACCTAGGGCTGCCTCCACGAGGGCCCTGGGCCATTGGGGGTTGGGGAGCTGCCCCGAAGGGGCAGCTGGGTTGGATCTGGCAGCTTGCTGATCAGGCGAAGGCGGCTCTGGCTGGGGCTGTGTCCGAGGAATGGCAGGCCTGGCCTGGGGGACCCCAGTTTCTGGGCCAGGCTTCCGGCCACGCCACTGAAAGCGTTTTTTGTAGTGGTGGTGCCGGTGGCGGTGGTAGTGGATGTGGCTGGAAACCTGGGTTTCCCCTGTGGGCACCACTGAGTCCAAAGACCGGGGCCGAGAGGTCACACTAGGCTGAGTCTCCTCCCCCCGGGGCTCCCCTTCCGGGCTGCAGTATACCAAGGGGTCAAAGTCACTGCTCAGGGAGCTGCGGAAGGTAGAGCTGCTGCCATGGATGCCCTGCAGACTGATGTCCGTGCAGTTGACCACTGAGTCACTTGAGGAGCCGTGACAGGGCCCCGAACTGGAGTCACTGGCGGGCCCATCTGCCATGTAGCCACTGCGTTCTGTGCGATAGCTTTCTCCAGAACTGCTGCTGTCGTGAGGCCTGGCCCGGCGTGGGGGTGCTGGGCAAGCAGAGGGGTGCTGCGGGGTGCCTCGGAGGTGGCTCAGCCCCCAGCCGTGCGCATAGGGGTGCTGGGCCACTGCCAGGTGCTGCTGCTCGCCCGGAGCCCTGGGATGTGCAGCTCTGGGGAGGCGGGGGTGCCAGGGGGCCGCGCCTGGCTCCTGGGACGTTAGGAAGGGACCAGGTCGTGGGGGCCGGGCCACTGCACTCCGGGAAGGGCCCAACAGGTAGGCAGCAGGTAGGTGGTAGTGGGCATGGCCGGGATGCTGGCGAATGAGGTGGAGTCTCCGACCTGGTTCCTGGTAAGATCGAGAGGGTCCCAGGGACTGAGAAAACGAATCTCCCTCTGGAAGGAAGAACCAAAAGCATAGGTGTTTGAGTCCACAAACCTGTGGAAGGTGGCAGCACCACACCTATTCGAGCCCACATAGCCTGCGTGTTCAGTCAGAGTTGGCGGACCAAGTCACACTCCTAATCTGCCTATGCCCCGGGATGCCCGGTTCCTTCCAGTCAGTCTCTCTCCCTGGGAGTCCACTATGCATGTCCATCCCCGCTCCTCCCACCAGCCCGTATGGGGCTCTTCCACTCAGGGCCACCACCGGCCCGTAGCGCACCTTTGGGTAAATTAGAGAAAGGCTCTCTTTCCTCAAGATACTTCACTTTCATCTTTTAGGAAATTTTCATACTATCCTGGTTTTGTTAGAACAAGATACTTTATTGCCAGAAAACCAGAATTATAAATACACAAACTATCTAGGTTTAGGATCAACAAAGTTGTCATGAAAATGCAAACAATTTTTAAAGTAATAAAGAAGTCTACGATGTGAATGGTGCCCCCCTTCATATGAGGCTCTCTTGAACAGTGCACAGCCTAAAGAACTATTAAGGCAGACCTGCTTTCTCCTCAGCTTCAAGGCAACACCCTTCGTCAGAGGGCAGCCTTGTCCTAGACCCCTCTGGCTGCACACAGGGGACTGCTTGGCCCACCTCCTACCTACGATGTTGAACATGCAGAGAGGGCAAGTCCGATGCTGATGTAGCCAGGGGTCCACACACACACGATGGAACTCATGGAGGCAGGAAATGACCCGTAGCTCCTGCAGAACACAGGGGGGTCCAAACCAAAGTTATCTGTAGCTACAGCAGTAGAACCAGGCCTCTCCTTCTTGCTATGACCTTCTTGTAACATACCACATAGTAGAATAGAAACGGTAAGAGCTTTGGTGTCAGGTAAGCCTGGATTTTGCCACCTAGCTGCACGACCTTGAGCAAGTTCCTTAACAGATAGTTTTCTGCTCTAACATGAGGATAAAAACTGAATCTACCCCCCACCGTGCATTGTCATGAGGCTAAAATGAGATCATGCCTCTACAGCACCCACTGCAGAGCCTGGCACGCGGTATACACTCAACAAGGACTAGTTCTCTTTCCCTGGAAGACCAGGAAAAGAGCCAGACCTCAGGGCTGTCCCCTCCCTCTGCCTCACGCAAGATACACAGGACACAGGTGCAACCAGAGCACGTGCAGCGGCCTTCAGTGCCTCACCTGGCCTCCCACGCTCCAGCTTCCCTCCCCAGCCTGGTCACGGAGGGCAAGCATGAGGACTGCCTTACCTGGCCCTCAGAGAACTCCTCCAGGCAAATGGCACACACGGGGGCTGAGCTACAGCTGCTACTCGAGTCTGGCCATTCAGCCCGAGCCCTCCTGCAGCTGGCCCGGTACCTCCTGGTGGCCAGCTGGCTGATGGCCCAGGCTGTTCGCTGCTGAAGGGGATCCTGGGAAGAGGGGTGGGGCTCAGGATAGGGCAAGGACTCCTCTCCCCTCACCCCTGGACCTCGGTCTGTACTCAGTTCCCAGTCACCCAGTGAGATCACATGGCTGATTGACTACCCCTAGGAGTCTGTCCCCTTCAAGCTCATACGTGGCTCTGCCAAGCCAGCCAAGTCCTCCCACCCCACCACCCCCCATCCATACCATCAAGCTTTCCTTTCCTTGATGGCCCAGGAGAGGTTTTTCATCCAACTGCCTGCTTGACATCTTAACTTGGATATCCAATAGGCCCATCAAACTGAATTTCTAATCCCATTAACCACCCAACAACACACCCATCCTCCCCCCTTAAAATTTAAGTCAGATCATGGTACTACTTCTGCTCAAAATCCTTCTAGTAGCTCCCACTTCACCAGAGTGAAAAAACACAGTCCTGCCAATGGATTCAGCAGTCCAGCAAACTCCTGTCCTCACCTCCTGCTCTGCCCTCTCACTCGCTCTATTCTGGGCACATGGCCCCCTAGCTGTTCCTCAGACATACTGGGCACACTTGTGCCTCAAGGCCTTTGCCTCTTCTGTGCTCTCTGTCCGATCACACTCTCCCCAAATATCTGTACATCCGACCCCCTCACCCACTTAGGGTCTTTCCTGTAAATGCCACCCTCACAGTGAAGCCTTCTCTGGCTTTGTTTTTGCAAATTAACCCTGTCCCTTTACATTCCCTCTTCCTTCTTCTATTTTATTTTTCTCTCTGGCACATACCACCATCCAAAATACTACATAGTTTATTTATTTTGTTTATTGTCTATCTCTTCCTATTAGAATGAAAGCTCCCTGAGGGACGGGATCTTCTTTTTGTTCACCGGGCTATCGCCAACGCCTGGAACCATGCCTGGTCCATACTAGGAGCTCTCGCTATTTGCTGAATAAATAAATGAATGGGCAAACCTATGTGGAGGGGCTGCTGGAGATCAACAAGTCAGATGCCAGGGTATTTAGATGTAAATGATTTCAAGAGCATAAGGGCACCTTCTTTCCTCCCTTTTCCCTTCTTGCTCTTTACCGTCCCACACCCAGGAACATGCCTACTTCCACCAGGGAGCCCACCCTGCTCACCGGCCTGCTGTGGTGGGGGCGGCACCGGAGACGCAGCACTGAAGCCAGGATGACCACAAAGATGGTGCCCACCACTGTCAGGAGGATCCACACATCGTAATCTGGCTGCGGGGGTGAGCGGAGATGGAAAGAGTCATACTTCTGGAAGGAGCTGGGCCACTTTGGGAGAATTGCAGGTGCCGAGGACACAGAGAGCTAGAGGTCCCCTTGAGTCTTCCAGCAGAGGGGACGAGGTGGGGAGGAACATGCAGATGGGGCTAGGTGGTCCCTCTCTGCCCACAGGCACTCACAAGAGAGGGTCCTCCAGATGTCAGCTGCAAGAGGTACTATCTGAAGACCCATGTGCTTGGGGGAAAAGTGGAAAGGGACTCCCCTGCAGAGTGGGAGCCTCCCAGTGACCAGCTGGGTGAGATTTCTAGCTGGTGGAGAAACACCAGCCAGGGCATCAGGGGCTGGGGGCCAGGGTTTCATTCTGGCTCTGCTACTCTGTGCCATGAAACCACAGAGCTGAAAACAACTTTACAACTCAGCTGGCCTAATCTATTCATTCTGCAGATGAAGCCTGGAGGGGGAAGAAACTTGTCCAGAAGCACACAGGTGGTGGATGAAGTTGAACTGTAGGATTTCTAAATTCTCTTTGGTTCCAGGAGTCCAAGGGCTTTTGATGGGAGTCGCCACAGGACAAAGTGGCGGTGAGGATGCGTGCCAGGGCAGGGTCTGGAGATCTGGCGTGCTTACCCAGGTTGGGGACTCCTTCAGCTCAATCCTGACGTGGGCCTTGCGGTTCTTGTACACAAACTCCATCAGCTTCTCGGCGTCCTTACCCCAGATCAACACCACTGGCCAAGTCAGCCCCAGGGGCTGCTGCAGCTGCAGGAGAGAAAGTGCCCACAAGGGCTGCTGTGTCCTGACTTGTCTTTCCGCAGGTAACTTTATCTCCCTCCATCCAGCTCCCTCCTCAAACACCCCAATGTCCCTGGGTACCTGCTCAGCAGCAGCTCGATCCTCCGTGATGTCAAAAAGGACAGCGCTGGCTCCTCGCTCCCCCGCCATCCGGGCCTGCAGAGACACACAGCAGAGGTCCCGCTGGGGTCAGGGGAGGACACAGCCCGCCCACGCCCTGACCTAACCCTCACACGTCTATCCCTTCCTAGGACATTGCACACACCGTATCTCTGCGCACTCCTCTATGACGCACGCAAGGGGGCAGTGGGACTAGGACCCCTGTCCTGCCCTGAGCTCACCCAGCTCCCACTGCCTTCAATGACAACACTCAATCCTTCCTTTTGTAATCAAATAGACCCTTAACAAGGATTTAGTAGGTGTCAGGTAGCGGACTAGACTCTAGAGCTAAGGACAAATAAGACATCTCCCTGCCCTCAAAGTACCACAGGTCTGCCTTGACTAAGAGCTGTGAGAACAGAAAGCAGGAAATGACCAGCACCCCCAGGGAGTGGGGAAGGGTAACCAGTCCCCAGTACAGAGAGGGAGAAGGGGAGAAAAGACAGATGGAGAGCTCCTTCAGAATTGAGATGGGCTTTCCAAGGTCCGACCCTGCCTGACGAGAGGAGCCTGCAGGGCATCCCCCAAAGGCCTGGGACCCTGCTGCCACCCAAGGTCTCCGTGTCAGAGCCCCAGGCTCAGCCTGTTTCTTGGTGTATCTCTCCCTGCCACACTCTAGTTTGTCAACACGTTTCCTGGCTCCAATTCAAGGACTTAATGGGGTCCCCGTCCAGTGTTCTGTCCCTGTGCCCCCTCCCTGAGGTGGCACTGGAGATTCAGTGGGGAGGAACCTGAGGGGCTGTTCCCACAAGGGCACAACTGTGCGTGCTCGCCAAGGCTCCAAGAGCAGGCGGGGGGCAGCAGAATGTAGCCAGCCAGGCAGAGCAGAGCAGAGCCAAAAAGAGAAAAAAGGCAGGAATCTAGCAGCTCTGGGTGTGGGGTAAGAGACAGGAGATAAGAGCAAGGGCTGGGTGGAAGCATAAGGGCAAAGGAGCAAGACAGATGCTACCCTGCCTCGGCGTCGGGCCGCCCTGCCCAGCACCGCCACTCGCCAGCCTTTCTCCCCAAAGCCCAGGCTCATCCTGTAAGGGTATCAGGCTGGGACCTCGTGCCCCTGGGGGCCTGCTGAGTCTTTGGGGCTGGGCTGCAGCACCAAAGGAGTTAATCCCTCTGCCAGCAGCGGTGGCAGGCAGAGGAGCCTACTTACAAGCTCAGGCCTTTGATCTCTGCTTTCCTTCCCTGGGGAGAGCCTGTCTGGGCAGGTCTCCTGCCTGGCAGGCCCAGGGAGCGGCTCCTGGCTCCTGCTCCTCACTCCCCAGGAGGCAGCAGGGACCAGGGGGCCCCTCAGAACAGCCTACAGGCAGGGGAGCCCTGGAAGGTGGTGGAGACACTCTAGTGAGGCCCCGTTTGGGGTCAGGAGGGTGACTTTCCCCCTTCCTCCTTCCCTCCCTCCCTCCCTGAGTTGCTGAGGAGCCCGGCTGGACCACTGAGCAGCACCCAGGCCCAGCCCAGGCCCAGCCCAGGCCCAGGCTCGCCAGCCTAACTGACTGGAAGTTCACAGGACTCCAGAATGGAATCGCTGAAGAAATTAAGAGGTCTCAGCCTTCGGTGTCCAGGAGGACACCACTTACTCCCAGGAAGTCCAGGCCAACTAGGGGACCCCAGACAAAGAGAAGCTCTCCAGGCTTCAGAAACCCCCAAGCCAGGGTATAGGAACAGCCCCAGAGGACAAGGACAGGGGCTCCCACTGCTAATGTCACAGTCTAGGACTTGGCCAAGGCATGGGGAGGTCACCCCAGTAGTGAAAGATTTGACTCCTGGATCTTGCATGCTGCCAAGGCCTCATGTTTCTCATGCCCAGATTGAGACCCTACACCCAACCCAGCCTGGAAGAGCATGAGGGAAAGGCACAGTCTTCCTTCTCCAGAGATTTTCTTACTTTCCCCAGCCCCCCTCTCTTTGAAGGATTGGGGTAGGAACAGTGGAAAGTAATTACCCTGATGTTCAAACACCCCAGCCCATTACAGCCCATAATTACAAAGTTGTAAAAGAGATCAAAGAAAGCATACTGGCCAACAGGGGAAACAAACAGGACTTTCAGGCAGTGGATACCTGTGTCCAGAGTTCTAGGAATCAAACAGCAAGACCTGGGGCCAGATGGCAGCCCACACTCCAGTCTATCTGCACCCAAGGAAATGGGAGAGAGGGAGAGAAAGAAGCACTTCTTCGGAGACTGGAATCTGGAAGGTAGAGAGGGTGGGTGGGCCCTCAGCATGGGAAGAGTGGGCTCTAGAAAAACAATGCAGAGATCTCTTTGGGAGCTGCAAAGAATCAGCCAGCCCCTTTCTGGCTGCCCATGGCCTCTAGTCACCGGAATCAGTACACTGCGGGAACTGTACATGACCCTCTTCTCCTCTGTGGGCTGTAGGTTTCCTCTCTGGACACAGTGGCAGTCTCTGTCATCTTCTCCTCATCAAAGACTGACCGAGTACCTACTGTGCCCAGGGCACCAAGCCAGGAAAGGCCAGGCCCTCTAGAACAACTCATCATCTAGTTGTAGAGACAAGGCATATACATAACATAATGTTGATAACGTTCTAGAGTATAAATGAATGAAATAGGCCAATAGTTCCCAAATCTTTCTTCACTGCAGAAAGCCCTTCCCTCCACTCCCCCTACCACACACACACACACACACACACACACGATCTGACACAAATCTTTAATACACAATAAAAGTGAGCTGAGTTTGAGGATGGGGGTGGAGTGAAGAAAGAGCCTTGGTTTCCCCCTCCCCTAAAACCTGGTGTGTAAAGCAGACAGAGACCCTGGCAGTGTGCCAGAAGAGAGGGAGTTCTGCCCCTAATGGGCTAGCTGGGCTGGGCCAGGCAGGAAAGATTCAGTAGTAGAGGTGGAATTCACCTGGGCTCGAAAGCAAAGGTAGGAGGAAGGAGAAGGGATATAACCTATACTGAGACCCACTCTGCCCAGACTGTTCAGGTGTGAGTCCTGAATTTGCTACCAACTATTAGCTGTGAGACTTTGAGCATGTCACTTAACTGCTGTATGCCTCAGTTTTCCTTTTTGTAAACTGGGGATAATAATGGGACCTACTTCACGGGGTTGTTTTGCAGACTATATAAATTAAACCACATAAAGCCTTATAATAGTACCTGGTACATAATTAGTGTCCCTTAAGTATTAGTTATTGTCATATGAGCTATTACTACATGCTTTGGGTACATGAGTTCATTTACTCCTCACAACTTTGTAAGACAGTCCATCCAGTTTTGAGTTGAGAAAACCGAGGCTCAGAGAGACTGAACAACTTGCCCAGCATCACACAGCTGATAAGCAATGGAGGCAGGATTCCCACTCAGGACTTCAGTCTTCCAAGTGCCTGATTACCAGGTAGTGGTCTCTATGGTAAGAGAGGCAGGGCCTTGCCTCCAGAGCCAGCTCCTTCCACAAGGTGGAAGGCCATTGCTCTAGTCCAGGCATGAGGTGTTTAGGGCCTGGGTAATCACAAGGATGGCTGTGGAGTTGCTAATAGAGAAACAGAAACCAATTTGGATGACTAGATAGGCAGGGGTTGGGGGATGGGGGGCAGTGACAGGAATGAAAGAGTCCAGAAAAATTATGGTGAGGGTTTCAGAGAAGATCAAGAGAGGTGCCAATGAGAGAAAATACCCAATCTTGTTAACTATAAAAGATGATGAGAATAGTAATAATTGTGATCATTTATTGAGTGATTCCTATGTGCTTGGCATGGGGCTAAGAGCTTCTATCTGCACTGTCTCATTAAATGCTCATAACTATTTTATGATGTAAGTCCCATTATTATTCTGCTTTTACAGATGAGGAAACAAGAGGCCCAGAGAGGTGAGCTAAAATGTCCAGGTCACACTGAGGGGCAGTGGAGATGCCAGGCTTCAGGCCCAGGGCTGACTAGCTCAAGAACCCAAGCTCTGTTGATGGTGATGACACCACTAATACTAATAGATATTCCTGAGCAGAGCTGATTGAAGTCAGCAGTTTTTAAGCTTTTATCGCTAAAACCCACCTTTCCCCTATGCCTCCCATGAGCCATATATTTTTTATTTTTTAATTATCTTTAAAGATTTTATTTATTTATTTATTTGAGATAGCGAGAGAGAGCATGAGCAGGAAAGGGGCAGAGGGAGAGGGAGAAGCAGACTCCCCGCTGAGCAGGGAGCCCGATGCGGGACTCGATCCAAGGACCCTGGATCATGACCTGAGCCGAAGGCAGACATTTAACCGACTGAACCACCCAGGCACCCCAGCCATATATTTTTTTTTAATGTTTTACCAAACTAACTGCATTTATTATGTACAATTTATTTTCCTATGAGATAACTTGTAACCAAAAGCAACAAATATTTTAGTTAAACTTGTGAGACTTATGAAATCTTGGAAGTAGCTCAGAGAACTCCATTACTACCTTCACAGACCTCCTCTGTGCCAGGAGACCCCAGGTAGGAGCTGCTTGGAGGTCAAAGGATGAAGCCTGAGGGAAGCCTTGGACCTGCCCCGTTGTAGAACTCCCAGCGAGAGCTCACCCACAGAGACGAGGAGAAGCCACGCCCACAGAGGCGAGGGAGAAGCCCCGCCCACAGAGGCGAGGGAGAAGCCCCGCCCACAGAGGCGAGGGAGAAGCCCCGCCCACAGAGGCGAGGGAGAAGCCCCGTATGAAGAAGCTGAGGAGCAGGTGCGGGGGGCAGGAAGCATGAGTGGCGACCGCAAAGGCTGTGGAAGAAAAACAGGTCCCAGAGCAGCAGCCAAGGCACTTCTCTGAACCCCTAATGGTTTTTTGTTTCTGTGTTTGTTTTAGCTCAGGCACTATCTGGTACTTGACATACATCATTTTTATCCTCACAGTGATCACGGGGGTAGAAAATAAAAGCCCCATTTTATGGCGGAGGAAACAAAGGCGCAATATGGTAAAGTGCCTCAAAGAGCACCGACCACCTGTTCCTTGACTTGCGAGCCTCTGGGCACGTGCCTTATTTCTCCCCCAGAAGTGTGCTCCTCCAAGGGCCAGAAGGAAACCTCCCGATTGGAGGGCATCCTGCCCTGGCCCGGTGTTCCCAGGTATGGGGAATCATACACTGCTCTAGAAGAACAGCAGAACTTTTCTTTTTTTTTTTTTTTTTAAAGATTTTATTTATTTATTTGAGAGAGAGAGAAACAGCACGAGAGGGGAAAGGGTTAGAGGGAGAAGCAGGCTCCCCGCTGAGCCGGGAGCCTGATGTGGGACTGGATCCCAGGACTCCGGGATCATGACCTGAGCCGAAGGCAGTCGGTTAACCAACTGAGCCACCCAGGCGCCCCAGCAGAACTTTTCTGAGCCCTTCTTCCTCCATCTCTCTCCCTGCCCCCACCTCGGCATCTCAAACACACAGGCACGCACGCACGCTCTGCCCTCACACTCATACTACCAAACACTAGGCACTCATCTACCAAATGAATAAATGAATGACATCTGCCCATATCCTGTAACGCAAGGGAAGTGAAATAGCCAAAAGCAGGGTAACTTCAAAATTCTGCCATTAAGGACCCACACAGTTTTTTTTTTTAAGATTTATTTCTTTTTGGGGGGCGCAGAGGGAGAGAGAATCCTGAAGCAGATTCCCCACTGAGCACGGAGCCCAATGAAGGGGGGGGCTCCACATGGGGCTTGATCTCACCACCCCAAGAACATGACCTGCGCTGAAACTAAGAATCGGCCACTTAACGAGTCACCCAGTTGCCCCAAGACCCACACAGTCTTGCATAGAAACCATGCTCTTCCCTCTTCCAGGTGTGTCCTGGCCTCCATTTCCCACATCCTCACGTGGCCCCCTTCTGCATCAGCACGGCCAGCCTGGCAGAGTATCTTCACCCACAGGGCACCTGGGTGGCTCAGTCAGTAAGAGTCTGCCTTCGGCTCAGGTCATGATCCCGGGGTCCTGGGATCAAGCCCCACATCGGGCTCCCTGCTTGGCAGGAAGCCTGCTTCTCCCTCTCCCACTCCCCCTGCTTGTATTCTCTCTCTCGCTGTCTCTGTCAAATAAGTAAATAAAATCTTTAAACGAAAAAAATAAAAGGGGGCTCCTGGGTGGCTCAGTTGTTAAGCGTCTGCCTTTGGCTCAGGTCATGATCCCAGGGTCCTGGGATCGAGCCCCCCATCAGGCTCTGAGCTCCGCGGGAAGCCTGCTTCTCCCTCTCCCACTCCCCCTGCTTGTGTTCCTGCTCTCGCTGTCTCTGTCGAATAAATAAATAACATCTTTAAAAAAAAAAAAATATCTTCACCCACGTGTGGGGCCACATTCAGAATCCCGTCCACAACCCTGCCCCCCTTGGTGGGCTCGCGGAAGAACGCAGGCTGTTTCCTTGGGACTCCTGGCTCAGGAAGCAGACCTCAGGAGGATCAGAAAACCCCCAGGGGGATCTGGGCCTGAGCACAATGAGCAGGTGCACCGGCTAGGACTGGGGACCATCAGCTTTCTCTTTTACCACACTGGGGAGCTGGACCCCTTGCCCCACGTCGACCTGAGTCTGCCGCACAGAATCTAACTACACTCTGGCTTAGGTCACCATGAGAATCTTCTCATATACATTCAGTGTTCCCAGCCAGAATGGGAGGCAACAGGGCAGGGAGATTAAAAGCCCAGGTTTGGGAACTAGACAAGGCTTAGGTCAAATCCCAGCTCCACCCCTTCCTAGCTATGTAACTCTTGCAAGTTACTTAGTTTTCTTTTTCTTTCTTTCTTTCTTTTTTTTAAGTTTCCTTATTATTCTTTTAGTAATCTCTACACCCAAGGTGGGGCTCGAACTCACAACCCTGAGATCAAGAGTTGCATGCTCCACTGACTGAGCCAGCCAGGCGCCCCAGTTACTTCAGTTTTCTGACCCTCACTTGTCTCACATGTCAAATAGAGAATAAAAATGTCTAGCTTTCCTGATTGTTGAGCAAAGTAAACGAGAGTATCTGTCCCACCTGGCCCACAGTCAGCGCACAGAGAACAGTAACTAACGTTAGAGCAGGAATCACAAATGCACATGTTCACAGGGCCTCTGAGGTAGCAGGCCAGTGAGGAGCACGGCAAACCAGAGAGCCCAGGTGTGGCGGGGGGCGGGCCGGGCAGCTACTGCCAGCCCCAGCCAGCTGTGCCCCATGGAAATGCAGAGCCCCCCGTTTGCCATCTCAGAGGAAGAATGTGAACTGTTTACAGATAGGGCAACAGCTTCTGTTTCTGCTATTCTTGCATATGTTCAGTTAATATTTCTGAGAGGTGGAAAAGCCCTTCAGCTGACCCCTTCTTGCTCTGATGCTGGGCAGGAGAAGGGGTCTAGGAACTTCCAGGTGATGGGGAAGGTTATGGGGCGGGGAGCATGCCCTAGATGACAGTCAGAAGGTTCTGCTGGTAGATGGTGGTTGGTGGGGAAAGGACGGGGGCCTGAATTTCCACCCCTCTCACACCCGTCATGAGTTAGGAAAACCTGAGTGAATTGGGCACATCACTCCTAGGCGACAAGGGGACAGAGAACAAAGGGGCCTCTCGTGGCCTGGATCTGGGTGAAGTTCAGAGTGTGTGTGGGGGTCAGGTGTGAACCCACCTTGCTGGCCAGGGACAGGCAGGGGCGGGGGGCCCGTTGGGGACTCTCCAGCTTGACGATGCTGATGAATCCAGGCTCCAGATTGTCGTCGTCACTGGCATTGCACAGGTACAGGGGGTGGGACTGCAGAGAGAGGGAGAGAGAAAGAGAGGTGAGGGAGGCTCTAGGGGGTAGCAGGAAGTGGTGGGAGCCAAGCACTTGCCCACTGTTCCAGGCAAGGACCAGGCAGGTCTCCTAGTGCTATGAAGGAGTGGGCCTTCTTATCTGATGGCCTCACAGGAAGCTAGTAACTATCAGGTGTCGTTTCAGGGGTGCCAAGGCCAAGAATACGTGGAGGTGGGGGGCAGGAGGGGTGTCCAAAAGGGGGACCTCAATGAAGAGTCTGCTGCAAAGCCACTCCAACAACCCTCACACTGGCCCAGCCTCTCTCACCTCCTACTTCTGCCATGTGCTCCAAAGCCCCAGGCTAAGAGCCCACGTCAGTACCTTCAGAATCTTGCCTTCCCTCCGTGCCCTCCCAGGGCAGTTCTGGGTGCTACCAGTGCCTCCTGCCTTCTCGGGGTGCCCCCTGAGATCCCCATCTCTCACGTGGCTTGGGTCTTCTCACTTGGTGCTGCCCCTTTCCTCTCAATATCTCCCTTTGCCCCTGCCCTGGGCCCAACCTGAGATGAAGCAGGGCACGGGAAGGGAGAAGATCCTACTTGGGGATGAGGCTTGGCCAACAGCCTTGAACATCACACTTACTGGGAGCTTGTCCTGTCCTCAGGAATGATGCAGTGGAGAGGAGCCAGCCCAGCACCTCTGCTCTGAGGGTGTGGCAGGGCCAGTCCAGGACCCTGTGCCCCTAGCCCAGTCGGTGCGGAGCAATGACTCAGGGGTGAGGGGGCCCGATGTGTGCTGACAGACCAGAGGATCCCCTCTGCAGAGGGACAGGAGTGCCTTTCTGTATACTCGCTTGTCATTCAAGGTGCCTCAAACGCCCACTTGAATCTAATTTTCCCAGAGTGCTGTGAGAACAAAGTATGATTTATTTGGCCCTAGATAATGCTACGGACTAGAGGTTCCTACGTGGTGGAAACCCAGTGTATGCTGCAAGAAAGGGGATTTTGTATGAGGGAGGTGCCCATACTTCCCTCTCTCCTGCTGCTGCAGTCTAAAGGACTTCCAGAAAGAACCATCAGAGGAACCAGACGGCATTTTGAATTTATGAGGATGTTCTGAAGATGCCAATGCCGATGATGGATTTAAGAGCGCAGTGACTTTTTGAGGACACTTTCATGCTATTTCTTCTCACTGTGTCCCTGCAGTCCCCTGAACATAGTGGGTTCTCAAACACACACACCACCTTGCTTTGAATTCTAGCTTTGTGAATACACATCTTCCGCCAGGCGGTGTTGAGATGGGAGTGCCATTCTTGCTCCCAGAATTTAAGGAGTACTAGTCTTGTGGTGACCGAAGTTTAGTGTGGGAGAAAAATTACACACATCCCCCCACCATCCCCCAAAAAAGGCCAGGGCCCAGGTTGTTCTCACTTCAGTGAATCTGTACCCCTGTCTCAGCAAGTCCCATGAGTCTGTCTGTCTGCCCATTTGCCCAACCAGGCATCCCTTCATTTCTTCATTCTACCAACACTGAAGACCTCCTTGGTGCCAGGCACTGTACGATCCATGGGGGAGTCAACAGTAAGTAAGATAGAATCTTTGCCTTAGAGAAGCTCAGAAGACAAGCATACAAACACATTGTATTGTGATGTTATGACGCAGGTTCATTCAAGGGCCTGTGGGAGGGCAGAGTGACTTCAGTGCTCCCTTGGGTACTGAACAGGTATGTGCTCACCCACTGGATCCCCAGGAAGGGGGAAGGTACATTCCTGGCAGAGGAAGCAGCCTGTGCCCAGGCACGGAGGCACCGGCAGGGGGCTGGGAGGGACAGCAGGCAGTTAGGTCTGGTGGGGAGGGGAAGGCAGGAGATGAGGCTGGAAAGGTCAGCAAGCACCAGACCAAGGAGCAGAAACTGCAGATTTGCATTTGAGAAGGAGCTCCCAGGTGCTGATAGAAGACTGTCTGGTGTGGTGAGTGGGCAGAAGTCAGTTATCCCAACAGAACAAAAGGTGGCGGATCCTCCTTCAGGAACGACAAATTGCAGCCATGGGTGTCTACTGCTTTGCTTGCTCCCCTACCACGACCCATGGTCAGCTTTCTTCAGATAACTCCAACACGCCTCTCACTGGCCAGGGAGTCAACTGAGGGGGACAGTCACCTCAGAGAAGAGTTGTTTTTAGAGAAAGATGTGCAAATATTTAACCACCACTCTGCCCCCAGACCTCCACAGAGGGAACCAGCATATACAAAGCAGTGCTATATTGTAGGAAGCCTCTGATGAGATGCAGGAGAAAAAACCTAGTGTCAGAGTCACCAGACTTGTCTGGTCCTGAACGAAAAGCTATGGAAGAGGGAAGGGGAGGAAATTAGCCATTATGCCTCTTGCATACCAGGCCCTCTAGATGTTATCTCACTATGAGGTAGCTGTGATCATCCCCATCTAAAGAAGAGAATGAAGCTTGAGGCACAGGGAAGTGAAGGTCACACAAGATTAGAACCCAGTTCTATCTGACTCCAGCCTCTGGAGTCATGTTAACTCCAAATGAACACAGAGTCAACCCTCCATTGTCCATGCTAATGATGATGATGATAATGCTAGAAACGATTGTCTCCATTTTAAAGATGAGGAAACTGAGGCATTAAGTGGTTAAGTAACCAGCAAGGAAGAAATCAAACTTTCACTATTTGCAGATGACATAATACTATATATAGAAAACCCAAAAGACTCCACCAAAAATCTGCTAGAACTGATACACGAATTCAATGAAGTCACAGGATACAAAATCATCGTACAGAAATCTGTTGCATTTCTATATACCAATAATGAAGCAGCAGAAAGAAAAATTAAGAAATCAATCCCATTTGGGGCGACTGGGTGGCTCAGTCAGTTGGGTGTCTGCCTTAGGCTCAGGTCATGATCCCAGAGTCCTGGGATCCTGTTTCTCCTCTGCCCCTGCTCGTGCTCTTTCTCTCAAATAAATAAAATCTTTAAAAATAAAAAAAGAAATCAATCCCATTTACAATTGCACCAAAACCAACAAGATACCTAAGAATAAACCTAACCAAAGAAGTGAAAAAGACCTGTACTCTGAAAACTATAAAATGCTGGTGAAAGAAACTGAAGATGACACAAAGAAATGGAAAGACATTTGTTCATGGATTGAAAGAACAAATATTGTTAAGATGTCTATACTACCCAAAGCAATCTACAGATTCATTTATTCTTTTTTAAAGATTTATTTATTTGACAGAGAGAAAAAGTGCGCAAGCAGGGGGGAGGGGCAGAGGGAGAGGGAGAAGCAGGCTCCCCACTGAGCGGGAGCTCAATGTGGGGCTGGATCCCAGGACCCTGAGATCATGACCCAAGCCAAAGGCAGACACTTAACAGACTGACCCACACAGGTGCCCCAGCAATCTATAGATTTAATGCAATCCATATCAAAATACCACCAGCATTTTTCACAGAGCTAGAACAAACAATCCTAAAATTTGTATGGAAACACAGAAGACCCCAAATAGCCAAAGCAATCTTGAAAAAGAAAAACAAAGCTGGAGGCATCACAATTCTGGACTTCAAGTTATATTACAAAGCTGTAGTCACCAAAAGAGTATGGTACTGGCACAAAAACAGGCTCATAGATCAATGGATCAGAATAGAAAACCCAGAAATGAACCCACAACTATATGGTCAATTAATCTTCAACAAAGCAGGAAAGAATATCCAATGGGGGAAAGGAATGTTTCTTCAACAAATGGTGTTGGGAAAACTGGACAGCAACATGCAAAAGAATGAAACTGGACCACTTTCTTACAACATACACAAAAATAAATTCAAAATGGTTTACAGACCTAAATGTGAGACCTGAAATTATAAGAATCCTAGAAGAGAGCACAGACAGTAACTTCTTTGACATCGGGCATGGCAACTTCTTTCTAGATATGTCTCCTGAGGCAAGGGAAACAAAATAAAAAATAAACTGTTGGGACTACATCAAAATAAAAACTTCTGCATAGTGAAGGAAACAATCAACAAAACTAAAAGGCAACCTACAGAATGGGAGAAGATATTTGCAAATGACATATCTGATAAAGGGTTGGTATCCAAAATATATAAAGAATTTCTAAGAGAAAGAGAGAGAGAAACAAACCATAAGAGACTCTTAGAGAACAAACTGAGGGCTGATGGAGGGAGGTGGGTGGGGATGGGCTAGATGGGGGATGGGCATTAAGGAGGGCACTTGTTGTGATGAGCACTGGGTGTTGTATATAAGTGATGAATCACTGAATTCTACTCCTGAAACCAATATTGCACTGTGTGTTGATTAACTAGAATTTAAATAAAAATTTGAAGGAAAAAAAATTTATACAACTCCACACCCAAAAAAACGAATAATCCAATTAAAAAATAGAAGACATAAATAGACATTTTTCCAAAGAAGATATACAGATGGCCAACAGACACATGAAAAGATGCTCGTCATCACTCATCATCAGGGAAATGTAAACCAAAACTACAATGAGATATCACCTCACACCTGTGAGAATGGCTAAAATCAAGAACACAAGAAACAACAGGTGTTGGCAAGGATGCGGAGAAAGGGGAAGCCTCTTATACTGTTGGTGGGAATGCAAACTGTGCAGACACTGTGGAAAACAGTATGAAGGCTCCTCAAAAAATTAAAAATAGAATTACCCCACAATCAGCAATCGCACTACTAGGTATTTACCCAAAGAATACAAAAATGCTAATTCAAAGGGATACATGCACCCTGATGTTTACAGCAGCATGATCTACAATAGCTAAACTATAGAAACAGCCCAAGTGTCCACTGACTGATGAATGGATAAAGAAGATGTGGTATATGAATACAATGGAATATTATGCAGCCATAAAAAGGGATGAAATCTTGTCATTTGCAATGATGTGGATGGAGCTAGAGAGTATTATGCTAAGGGAAATAACTCAGAGAAAGACAAATACCATATGATTTCACCCATATATGGAATTTAAGAAACAAAACA